GGTTCTGAATCTCACTCTCACCTCTCTCTAGCTGTGACCCTGAGCTAATCATTTAGCCTCTGTGGGTTTCAATTTCTTCATTTAGGAAATGGGGCTCTACCTCCATACAGGAGAATGCTGATCATAGTAGCTAAGTTCACTAAGTCCTTAATCCATGCTGTAGGAGCTCTGGTGGCACACTCTGTAGGGAGTTATACTGCTAATCCAAAGGTGGCACCCATTCTGATAGTCTGAATTCACTGGTAGCTCCTTGGGAGAAAGATTGACAATCTCTTCCCTTGACTTACAGCCTCCTAAAAGGTGGACAATGACTAAGGATGATAGTAGAATTGATGCCTTTGAGCTGTGGAGTTGGAGCTGAATGTGGAGCTGAATATACCATGGACTGCTAAAAGAACAAGCAGGTTTGTCTTGGAGAGGGTGAAACCAGGCTGCTCCTTGGAGGCAAAGATTGTGAAGCTTCATCTGACACACTCTGGGCATGTTGCAAGGAGGGACCAGTCCTTGGAGAGGGACGTCATGCTTGGAAGGGTGGAGGGATCGTGCAAGAGAGGAAAACCCTGGATGAGATGGATTGACTTAGTGACTGGGTAAGTGTATCAGAAATGATAAGGTTGGATCAAGATAGAGCAGGTTTCAGAGCTGTTGTACATAGGGTCTCTATGAATCACAAGTGACTCAATGACACATAACAGCAACAACAAAACCCTGCTGGAGAGCCAGCTATGAGTTGGTTCCCAATTCTAAGGCAATGAATTTAACCAGTGCTAACTGAATCTGAATTTAAAGAGAATTAACAGAGGTTCAAAGCAAAGGTTCTCTCAAATTTGAGTCCTCAGAAACATGTAGGACTTGTTAAAAGAAAAACAATTATTTCAGAGGCTCGTCACTAGAGTAAGCCTGGGACCCTAAAATCGGCATTTTTAACAAGTTCCCAAGTGATGCTGATCCTGCTGATTCTGGAACCACACTCTGAGAACCCTAGTTAGAGGAAAGGAAGAGTACTACAGAGAGAAAAACAAAATCACTTGCATCAGAAAAAGAACATTAACACTTTCAAATGGCATGCTGCAGACCAAAATTCCTGCCAAGTCCTGGTTCTTGATATCACGTGATGATCAGTAGAGGACAGAAAAAGGACAAGGCAAATTCTTATCCGTCGAACCACCTTTACTGGCTCTATCAGTGAAAGGAATAAGTGGCCCTTGCCATAAGACAGATTTCAGCTCAACATGAGACCACTGAGCTTTGGCTTTAGATCTGCCAGAAGAAGAAAACTCAGTAGTCTAAAAAAAGGCCTCCTTCTGAAAGCATGGCCCAAACAGCCATCTGTGGGAATGTAGCCTCGCTACCTCCATTACCCTTTACGGTGTTTTAGTGCAAAGCAGCCAAGCATGAGCCCAGCAGAAATAGCTGTTGAATACTGAGTTGATTCTGAAATCCTATGGCTAATTCAAACAGCCAATTCCCAGAAAATTCCAAGCTGTCTTTCAGAGTTTCACTCATTGCTATCAAAACGTCTTTATTATGCACATAGAAAATTAACATCTTAAAGCAAAACAGCTCCTAAAACCAGTTTGTCATCTGCTTCATTTAATTTCCATGCCCTACCAACCTGGATGGACCAAATGGCTTCACCTGGTTCTGTTAGGCAAATACCTCGTATATTCTGTTCTCTGATAAGATGAAGACATGAGGTTATTTACCCATATCAAAAGGTCTCTCTTATCTAAGAAACCATATGTATGAGTAACCCTTTTTTAACACCTCAATGTGAAAGCACCTTCAACTTGCAGAAATCTTTCTGTAAAAAAGTAACCTTCAGGAGTCTCCGGTTTAGCTGCCTTACTGTCCCACTCTTTTATCTACCTTTTTCCTTTTCTACAGCATGCCAGAATAAACTACCCTTTCTTGACTTTTAGTAACAGGAGTGGCTACTGATGTGTTTTTTTTTCTCCTACAACTGCATGCATTCTGATAATGACAGTTCAGAGACAAGTCCCATGAGGCCCTCAGCAGGGGTTTGTGAAGGCCCTTCACAATGAGGCATCTATATCTGGCCCTCCATAATGAGGCATCTATATCTGGCCAGGAAGCTGGGTAATGAGCCTTCAGCTGGGTGAAGGTCTCGTTTAGGTAAATGAGTTGAGAAATGTTCTACTTTACCCTTAAGCTTGGTGAATTTTGTTATATATCAACAAGAAGGGTATGAGATGTTTGAATGTGTCAAAAATAATTTTGTGGACTTTACTCTTTGAAGGAGGCCTCTCTTGGTTATCTTCTCAGCATTAGGAACAAGCTGCTCTAACAATTCCACTTACCAGGATGACAAGTTGGAAATGTCTCCTCCTCTACGTAGAATGGGAGCACACTGTTGTCTATTCTATTTCAAGCTGAGTGACTTCTATATGCTCCAGAGGTTCTGTTCTTAGGGGTGGTGTGGCAAGTGTTGGTTCAAAGAACTCACCCTGGAGAGAAGGAAGCCTCCAGTAAGAGAATGAGCTCTAAGTCAGTGTCTCAAGCAGGCACCGGGTGCTGGGCCTGATCAGTTCTCAAGAGCTCTGGGAGTCTGGCTATCTGTGACAGCTATACCTGCCTCTGCAGCCAAGGAAAGTTCCTGGCCTCAATCTCAGAGAAATGAAGAGTCCAAGAGCAAAGTCATGGCAACTGTAGGCACTAAGAGCCAGGGCAGGGCTGAAAAGCTGTGTGAGGGAGGTGGCATCAAGTACTATACATTCCTAAATACCATACTGTATCAGAAAGGTAGGCCTTGAAAGAACGAAGGAACACACACACACACACACACACACACGCGCGCGCGCGCGCGCGCTCACTCACTTTTTGACAGGCTAAAGAGGCAAAATGAGCTCTTCCTGCAGAGGCCTGCCTTTCCATCAACCAAAAGGAAAATGTGGCACCAAGGACAGAGAAGCCTCATGTTGGTGTTCCGCCAAGCAGGAACATCCTCCCACCTGCTCGCCAGGGGAGCCATGGGAGTTAATTCTCTTGGGAAAGGGACTTCAGAGTTACAAACCTAACCATACATCTTTCCCAAAGGTTACATGCCAGAACACAAAACAGGACTCCACATGCTACTGACATCATTAATAGGCCAGTCTAGGCTGTGGAAAGTTCCTAAGCTCCCATAGATCTCCTGAGAGTGAGAACATGTAACAGAGAGAGACTGCTGCTTCCTTGGGTTGCCACACAACCACAGGCACCAAGCTCTCAACCACACCCTGCTGGGCCTGGAAGAAGGAATGAGAGGAAAAAGAACAAGCCAGGTTTGTTTCTGTGTACCATGGCCAGTCAGCAATCTCAAAACACTCATACATACACACACATGCATTTTTTTTACACATGCATTATTATGGACAAAAGGCAGCACACAAAGCAAACACAGAAGTTTCTGGAAGGTAAGCAGCATCAGGACCATCTAGGGACATGAAATTTCCTCATCTAGTCGTTTGTGAGCTTGAACGTGCCTCTGGTACTAATGTTCTCTTTTAAAAAAAAATAGAGTCTCAAAGGCAGACCTTTGTGACATTGCAGGATGTGCCAGAGACTCAGGGAAAGTCTAACAGGACTGCACAGTGCACCTTCCTGGAAGCAACAGTGATTAGCTTTCCTTTGAATCAGCACTCATGCAGGATGTCAGGAAGGAAAGGGACAAGCACTAAAGTCATCAAGTCCTGGAGGATGGGAAGAAGATGACAAGGCCAGTGACACAGAACATAAAAACAGACTGAGAGAGGAGGAATTTGTCCCAAAGCTTCTGATACTGGCATTTGTCTTCATCTACAGACTCCACACCATTATTTTCCCTTGAGCTTCCTCTTGACCTTGCTTCAGCCAAGGTCATTTTAAGTAATGGAAGAAAATCCAACAGTTTAAGTGATTATTCTGTTAGCACTTTTCTGGGTACTTTCACCAAAGTCATCTCTATTCCCTCCTGTGAGTGATGATCTCCTCTGCACTGGGATGAGGAGACAGTTAAAGGATATACTTTGTCCTTGGAAAGCAGCTGCTAAGTGGTAGAGCTAGTATTTGAAGAAGGAATGGATGAAGCCAAGGCTATCAGACAGCATTTGCTAAGAAGTTGTTCTGTTTGGTGGTAGGTTTTGGGGGTTTTGATTTTGTTTTTAGTAAAAAAAAAAGGGCAGATATGTAGTGACAAACTATTCAGAATTATTTTAGAATACTGAACATATGTATTACTATCCAATAGTGTTTGTAATTAACAAATTTCCTTATTTTTTATACTAAAAGATGAGTCACTATATACCTTATGAATTAAAAATGATCAGTATCTAATACAAGGTTATGATTCTATCCTTAAAATACCCATATTAAGAAAATCTATACTTCAAATATGCTAAGGGTAATTACAGTCTGTTTCTCTTAAAAGGTAATTGGAGAGAAAAGATGATTAAAGCAAAGAACTACATTAAAATTTAAGCATGTTTGTATTTGAAGGGAGACTATTCCATTTCTCAGCAGTGTCTGAGGAGCATGTTTTGCTCTATCTCCAAAGTTTCCCTCTGTCCTTATGTCTGCTCTGGTGGTAAAGATTCACAAGCTGTGATCTTTCCATTCTGTGTGCCATGGAGGCAGATTATCAGATATAATCCCAAGGCCGACACCACTAGGATTTTATCAACAACTCCTCCAAGTCTTAACTTAAGTCTGTAATCCTGAATGTATCAACCATCTTAAATCTTAATTTACAAATATACAAAGTTAGACCTCTAAGAGGCCTTGGAAACCATTCTGACTTCAGAGACAAGCAAAACTATAGTGGCCAAACACCTTACCCAGGGTCACACAGCAAATTAACAACTCAGCTGATAGACAAGTAACTTTGCCCCTATCCTAGAGCACTGTCTGGAAGTAGGCCTACTAAGTGACCAGGGAGAAGGCTTAGGAGTGGATTGCAAGCATAAAGCTCTATGTGGGTCTCAGCCATAGCTCAAAGGCCTGAGTGGGCTTCTGGGCCTCACCTCCTCCTCTCGGAGCTTCTGCTTCCTCTTCTCTTCCACAGCGGCTCTCTTCTGGTCCTCCCGAAGGCGTTGTTCCTCCAGTTTTCGCCATCGTTCCTCAATTTGCTTTTCATACTGGAGCTTGGCTCTTTTCTGTTTCTCCAAAATCTGCTTCTCCCGGGCAGCTAGGGAAAGAAAATGTAAAGAAAGAAATCACTACCAGAGTACTGAGTACTCCGCATCCTTTCGATTATTATGAAACAAAATACAGAAACAAGATGGAGACTAAAAGTGAGCAGTGACTGACCTATAGGGCTTTGGAGACAGGTACACTGGTTGTCTCTGGGGGTTATCATTATGTTATTTCTTTGCCTCAGTTTCCTCCTCTAGGAAGGTAGAAAGTAGTGTCCAGTTGGTATTTGCTGATGTTTACTTAGATTTTATCAGTTCCCAAGGAGTTGAATCAGATCCATGGCAACCATATGTATGTCAGAGTAGAACTGTGTTCCATAGAATTTTCAATGGCTGAGCTTTTAGACAGTGATCTTTTTTCCCGAGATGTTTGCGGGTGGACTCAAACCACCAACTTTTCACTTAGCAGCAAACATCTTAACAGTGTGCACTACTCCCCAAAAACCCCAAACGCACTGCCACTGAATTCTAACTCACTGCTACCACATAGGTCAGAGCAGAACGGTCTTAAGGTATTTTTAAAAAAAAAGCACACTTCCTCATCTTTCTCCAATGATTTGATCTGCCAACTTTTCGGTTAGCAGTCAAGTACATAACAACCTTACACATCAATTAAAACTACATATCAAGAGAGCTGGGAGGAAAACATTTAACAGCATACCACCATTTGCTGGTCATTTTAGAGCTTGAATTTTGTCCTTAGGTCAATAGGTCACTGAAGAAGTTTAAGCTGGGAGATGGTGACTACCTTATGGACTGGAATAGTCTTTCTGGAGAATAAGCTAGAAACATATATGTTGGTGGTGATAGGAGCCATTAAGTACGACACATAGCCATTCATATAAAAAGATATAAACCTTATCCTATCCTGCATCATCCTCATCAACTCAGACACACTTGAGACCACTGTCAGTCACCAAGTCAACTCATCTAGTTGAGGGACTGCCTCTCCTTCACCGATCCTCCACCTTTCTAAGCATGACATCCCTTTCCAAAGAATAGTCCCTCCTAACAATATACCCAAAGTATATGAGAGGAAGCTTCCTCATCCTTGTCTCCAAGGAACACTCTGCCCTGCACCTTCTCCAAGTGGTGGTGTGTAATTTGCATAGTGCAAGCTGTTGATGAGTTTTCCTCAGATCCTGATGCCACACTACTCTTCATAAATTCCAGCTTCCTTTTCTGGGGGAGGGGAGAGGTGAATTATTTTGTTTCTTAGTCATGCTGTCATTGTGGGAAAGAACATAGAGTGGAGAGGGCAAGTGGAATAAAATATTTTTGGGAGGAGGCCCAAACTTCCCAGATCCCAGGATCCTTCCCACTCTGAGTGCTTGGGGTGAGGGGATATATGTGGGGGAGTGAGGAGGTGAGACGGTGCATGACTGATAAAGCTAGTGTAGAAAAAAGGCACTGGTGGGTTATATCTTGGGCCTGCAGGAGGGTGAAGCCAGGCTCCTTGGAATTCAGGCCTCTAGTCCTTTCTCTTCCCTTTCTTGGCTTTGGTCTTGGTTTTGGTCTTGGGGGTGCAGGGCTTCATCTTGAGGGTGGAATCTTGGCACTGGGCATTGTACCACACCTTCTTCAGGGTGCCCTGGTGGGCTTTGGTGCCGATGCCTGCATCACAGGTGCCCCAGCTGTCAAACTTGTACTTGCGACACGCCCCTGCAGCTCTGACCCA